TGGGTACCGAATTAGGTTTTCAGACTACGGCTCTGCCGAACTCTAAAAACCTTGAACGACCACTCACCATACAAATTAATCGGCTTCGTTAATAAGCTGGGTTTATTTGGTCGAGTGTGAATAGGTGTGAGCCACAATAAGCCCTTGCGGGTTGCGGTGGAGGGTCGAATAGACCCACTTACTTCGGATCTAACCCAACCTAGTCTTGCTGCTGTTTCTCATTCATCCATCTCAATTTTCTCAGCAAAATAGTACAATATATACTCGTATAGTAAGCAGTACAGGAAAACATGTCAGTTCCGCAGCTGTTACAATTCACTGCATAAATTCAGAAAGGAAAGTGCGCATTTCATCAGGAACTTGTATTGCATAATCATGTTTATTGAAGAAAGAGCTGAGAACTGCACATACATTCATCTCATCGTTTCAGAGGCCAAAATGTGCCTCTTTCCTCGAAACTAAAGAAATCAACTTCAACTTGGCATTTTGTTTTTCATTCGAGTCATTTTTCAACTCAATTCGTGAACAGTTTTCAAAAAAAAAGAATGTTTCATTCATTACTTAGTTTTCGTATTGAATAATTTTCTCCATCAAAAAAAGAGGTGAAAACTTATATGGGGGGCCTTTCAACAAGGACTTCCGAACTTTGGCAATTGATAACGGTCATCATGTTGAAGTACATCTGTCAAATTGGTTGTCATTTATTCAGTCTATTTTGCCAAATCATCATGGAGGGATATAGCATTCAACAACACGTGCAAATAATAAAATTGTGTTATGGAAATGTGTGTTCTGTTCAGGCAATGTACCGCGCGCTTCGCACATTTTACGGTCGCTATAATCGTCCTACCAAAAAGACATTTTTTAAAGAAATACAGAAAAATTCTTGAAGTGGTCTGGTAGCGGTACCTGTGCGGAAGTAGCGACTCACATTGCATTTGAATCGCTGGAGATTAAATCCATCTGGAAAAACGTTATCAGGGAGTTTATTCCACATGAACGCAGTTCTCCAAATGAAAGACTTCTAGGTGTACTGAGTTGAACCTCAGAACGATAAGCAGCCACAGTTAGTCGCATATTTTTGTTATGCACCGCTCTTGGTGGAATCAAATATACCAAGTCACTTGAACACTTGAAAGTATCTATAGACTCTCCAACTTTTCTTCGAAGTTCCAGACTATCAAGATTGCAAGTGATGCTTGCGTCTACAATCAGGCGGATGGCTCTTTTCTGGATAAAAACCAGCAGCTGCAAAGTAAGCTTAGAGGCAGAGCTCCATACATGAGAACAATACTCCAAAGAAGGTCGGATCTGAGCTTTATAAAGCATTTCAACCTCCAACAAACTTATCGAAGACGAAAGCAGAATTGTCCGTCCTGACATCATTATATCCGGTTCAGAAACATTTATCTTTTGGAAGAAAACCGATGCCTGGGTTTTTGTGGCATTGAATTGAACCTGGTTACTTTCGCCCAAATTCGAAATCACTTCTAGATCCTCATCAAGATATGAGGAGACAAGTGTGCTATCCTGAACATATACGAAACGAAAGATCTGTCGAAAACATCGCCACTGTCTGTGAGATTTTGCAGGATAATCCAAGGTAGTCGATTTCGCGACCATTCGCTGATCACAACTTGGCAAATTTTGCATCGTGAATTGGGCCTACACTCGCACAAAATTCAACTGATTCAGGAATTGAAGGTGAACGACCGTGAACAAGAATGTGTGTTCGCTGAATGGGCTCTGTAGCAGTAAGAAACTGAACCTAATTTTCATCGGAAAATCATCTTCAGCGATGAGGCCCAGTTCTGGATGAACGGGTACGTGAAAAAACAGAATTGTCGGAATTGGCACGATTCCAATCCACATGAGATCCAAGAGCGTCCAATGAATCCCAAAAAGTCACTGTTTGGTGAGGATTTTGCGCTGGGGGCGTCATCGATCCTTAGACCTTTGGAAATGATGTTGGCCAGGCCATAACTATCAACGACGAGCACTATAGATTGGTTATTACCAACTTCTGTTGGCCTGAATTAGGTAATCTGGACATCAACGACATTTGGTGCCAACAAGACGGTGCTACCTGCCATACAGCTAATGCCACATTGGATATTCTGCACGAGCGATTTGAGGACATGGTCATTCGATGTGAGATCGTTCGACTTGACTCTCTTTGACATTTTTGCAGGTATATGCGAATAAGACAAACCACAACGATCCTCAAAGCCAACATAACCCATGCCATCTGTCAAATTCAGCGTCAGAGTCACGGAAAATTGGACTTTTCGAATGCACTCCACCCGGAGAAACGGTGGCAGGCATTTGAACGATGTTATATTCCACACATAATGACATCAATAGGTTTCCCAAACGAATGAAAAATTTCGATATCTTACACACATTTTCTTTTAATGGAATTTAAAAAGGGGAAGCGTTTAATGAAAGACGCTATACATACTTATACATACTTATCTCTATAATCCAGTCATTTAAGCTTAAATTAGGTAAGAATCTCGGAATTCGAGATCCCCAGCTGTAAGTCTGTAAATACTTGTATATTGACACCCTAAAAGTTGTCTCAAAACCTACCTATGGTAGGGTGTAAGCAACTATTAAATTTCAAGGTCAAAGTTCACAAAAATCGGTTTTTTGCGCTTTTTTTAATTCCGAGGTGAACTTACTATAATGACTGGACTACTACTGTTCGAAGGCTAAAATCTGCGTCGGTCTCCAGAATTGAAAAAATAGAAATATATTCACAGATATGGTATATTCGATCTATGTTTCGTCCGCTACTGCGGCAGACGTCAGTGGTATATGCCTTGACTGAAAGGGTGAAGGTTATATCTTGAAGAATTTCACCAGTTCGAACTTCCATTGTCTACTATAAAAATACTTTATTGTCCAAGAATGACAATGTTACAGGAAGGCGTCAAGTTGTGGATGTTAACGGTTACCAGTCAGAACCTTTTGTGATTACATCAGGTGTGCCACAGGGGAGTCACTTGGGACCATCACTTTTAATAATTTTTATTAACAATATTGTTGAAGTATTTCAACATTCCAACTTCTTTTTATATGCCGATGACCTCAAGATTTATCGAACCATCAAAGAAATCCAGCACTGTGAGAGATTGCAAAATGATCTTGAAGAATTTCCAGAAATCTGTGGCAATAGTAGCATATACTTAAATCTCGATAAATGTCACAAAATAACTTTCACCAGAAATAGAAATTCCATTGATTTTCAATATCAAATAGGAAATCACACAATCAAAACAGTTAATGAAGTACGTGATTTGTGAGTGATAATGGATTCCATAATGATTTTTAAATCTCACATTGAGAAAACCGTTAATATGTGTCACCGTTTATTGGGTTTCATTATAAGTAATACAAGACATTTCAGAAATGCAAGATCTGTTCTTAATCTATATTACTCTTCTTATGTATACAGTCGTTTGAACTTTGCATCTGTCGTTTGGATTCCATAATATTCGATTTACCAATAGAGAATTGAAAGTGTTCAAAATAAATTCGTCGAACAATTGGCGCGTAAAAGTGACATTTGTATAATCGATGGAAATTTCCGTCCAGTTTTCAAAAATTATTCTTCGTTGTCTCTTACAGATAGAAGAAAAATGTCAGATATATTGATGCTGGGCAAATTATTCAATGAACGTGTCGATTGTCCTACGTTGATAACAAAAATTTCATTGAATACACCTTGCAGAGACTTGCGAAACCATGATCTCTCTGCAACCCCATTTAGAAAAACCAATTCAGGAAAAAACTCTCCTTCATGCAGAATTGCCAGAACCTTCAATATGCATTGCAATAATATTGAAAAACTGAGGTTACCTTTCCTTAGATCTAAAAAGTATGTGAAATCAATTTTTATTTATAATGAGTTATCGGTGCTTCATATATTGTTCATTTAATTGTTTGTTAATATTCAATACTGTATAGTGTAATGAACTCAGCATTTATATTTTGTTTACTCACTATCTTCCATATGTAAAATGAGGAAATTTTTTCGATTTATTCTGGTTGTATCCCTATTTGTGTAATAAATAAATAAATAAATAAATAAAATTACTGTGATTTGATGAATAGCCAATTGTTCAATAAAAACGTGAAATAAAATTGCAGTAAAATAAAAATGAACAAAAAATTAAAAATTTAACAATTTCAAATGAGATTAAAAAAGTTAAAAAAAAAAATTCAAACCAAATTACTTCACGACGTTTCGATTGTTGGTATCCACAATCGCCTTCGGGTAATAACTGGAATATTCTTTCGAGATATGACTATTTTTAGTCATTTGAACGCTTTCACCTATCCCCCCTTCCCTGTTCAGTGGAGGTTGACCGTTTTTTCGCTTGGAGGTTTTCATATATTGCGTACCTCTGAGCTAACTTAGCTGGATGCGTCGTTGGACAACATATATGCAGCTTCTTTGAACTTCCTCTCAAACCAGTACTTCTTCCTGTGAATAATCCCATCTTGGGACCACTTGATGTTATATTGATGAGTCCAAACATGCTTTGCTATTCTCGATTTGCTGGTTTTTCCCGGTGTGTGTTCCTCTTGTGCTCGGCAGAGATTTCAAATCACATTAGAATAGTATTAGACATTGGAAGTTCGAACCAGTAAAATTCTCCATGAAACATTGAAACCACTTTCAAACAAACGTTATACCTTGAAGTCTCAACAACTGACTGTCGTTGCTTACTGCAGTATGTCACTGTCGATGGTAATACCTGATTATTCTAGAAGTTCTGCTTCTTGATAAAAGAGAACGGAATCCAGACTGAATCTCGGATTTCGTTCGCAATCGTGACTCCGGCCGCGAAAGTCTATGTTCTCATTTGGTGAATATTCTTGAAATGTTTGATATATTTGCAAATAAACCTATACTTCCATCATTATCATCAATCTCTCAATCCAAAGCCACTATTTTCTATATTCATATAAAAAATATTGATACTTTTCAGGTCCGTGGTGTAGAAATAGGTATAGTCCTTCTAGTATTAATCGTATGGGTAGCAGCCATAGCGCTCTTCTTCAACCGGTGGGGCAAAATCCGAATGTTATTGCCCTACCAACCGGACTACAAACAGGAGCAACTGAAAGTACCCGGAACAGCGGCGTGCGCAGCGGCAGTCGCAACGGGGGCGGCATGCACTCACACGTCAGGAGAACACATCTGTCAACAGGTATTTTCCAATTGGTGTTGATAACACACATACTCAGTAATCAAATTTTACGATTTTTTTCCTCAGGTTTTTGTCATTTCGGAAGTGGATCATGTTTATTTCCCTTGTATGTCATATTCACAGAACGATTTCAGGATTACGTATTACAGTGCTTCCAAAATTATTTGACAAACTCTGAAAACAAGATTTCGTAATACAGTGCTTTCCAAAATGAAGGGACGAACTCTTCCGAGTCATTTACAAAAATATTTGAAAAAAAATGTTCGGAAAGTCGATTTTCCTTTCAAAATTTCAATTCAATCTCATGATTTTCATATCAATTTAGATGTACCTCACGATACCTCTCGCTGATTTAGAATATTAGTAATACTTATTCAGATTTGGGGATACAAAAAAACCTAAGAATTTGTATGAAGTTACAAAAAATATAGAGTATGTTCATAAATGGAACTGTCTGGTCCAGTACTTCTGCGGGTTGATCATTGCTTTCTATTATAATCATTTGATTATAAATTTTCATTTCTCACTAAAAGGAATGAATAGTTGTTTTGTTACTTACATCCATGGTTGTGTCCAAGAAAAAACGCAACTCTAACTTTGCTTAGGCGTTTCCCAAGAACTGAACAACACCACAACTTTATTGTTATTTATTTTTTTATTTACTGTAATTATTATTGAAGATATGCTAACATCTATTATAGACAAGAACATATGTAGTATATCCATTCCCAATTGGAACGGCAATGAAAATAAGAGTACAGTCATAAACATTTTTTTTCTGTGGCCCCTAGTCGCCCAGATAGTTAGTAAACGTGCTATCAAATGTAGCTGAGGAATAAAGGCTCGGCTAGCTGGACTGGCTGAATACTAATTTTTTGTCCGTTTCACAATATTTCTTTACTATTTCATTTCAGGTTTATTTTGCTTAATATAATTGTTATTTTCAGCTATTCATTTTTAATTCTTCTTTTTTAGTTGTTTCAGGGATTTCAAATCAGTTTATATAGTAGACAATGGAAGTGCGAACTAGTGAAATTCATGATTGTCCTAATTGATTTTTCGGTAATTAACTAGTGGAACCACTACCTGCAGAATAATTTGTCCGCTTTTTGATCTATTGTTGACAAATTAATTTGCAGGTAGTGGTTCCAATAACAAAGTCCACATAGGACGAAAAAACTTTAGGTATATAAACCGCTAACTCTTGTCTTTAGATTCAGTATCAATTTGTTTCTCCTGAAGATGCTAACCTTGTTAGCGAAACGCGCGTCGAGTGCAAAAATATCAGTTTGGTATTAGGGTAATTGATTTCTAGAAAAAGTTTTCAACTTTCACATCAAAGGTTCCAATCTCATCCTTCAAACCGATTTTTGTGAAAATCTTAGTGTTTTTGGGTACTTTCATCAATATGGCTTTCTGGACACCTTTTGAACCAAATGATAACATTACATGTGAGGAATCTGTATCAATCGACAGGGATCCGGAATTTGAAAATAAGAATTTTTATGTTCAAGTTCAGCGAGTAATTTTAAATATTCATGAATGCTTGAAGAAGGAAAACTGTCGCACTTCACAGAATGCTATTGTGAATAGAATATGCGAGTTAACGAAACTATCTCGTTCGACAGTTCTTCGAGTCATTAAAATAGGGGATGTCATTGACCATGCAATGAAACGAAAACAAAGGAATAAAAAATTCGCAAACGTTGATGGTGCTACAAAAGATGGGATTCGGAGAACAATTTATGGTATATACCAAAAAAATGAAGTACCAACCTTGGAAATGATTTCGTATAAATTACTCGAATATCCCGATTACAATTACAAATCTTTAGAAACTATATGAGGTGTCTTATTGTCTTGTGGTTTCAAATATGAAAAATTGAACAATCGGATGGTCATAATGGAATCGACACTCATTGTTCAACTCAGACAAGAATATTTGAGGCGAATGAATAGCTACCGAGAATCCAGCAGACATAAAATCTTCCTCGACGAAACTCGGTTTGACACACATGATGTTGTCAAATATGGTTGGGTAGACGAAACCAAGTATTGTGCTTTGAACACACCTTCTTCAAGGGGAAAACGTGTTATAATTTTGCATGCCGGGAATGAAAGTGGTTTCGTACCTAACGATTTGCTTCTGTCGGCCAAAAATATAAAACATTCGTCTGCTGATTACCACGAAGATATGACTGCGGCTTTATTCGAAACCTGGTTCAGTGAGCAGCTTCTCCCAAATATTCCTCCAAACTCGGTTATTGTTATGGATAACGCTTCGTATCATTCTAGGTTATTGACTACAATACCAAATAATAACACAAAAAAAGCAGATATTGTTGATTTCATGCGAAATCATGACATGGAAATACCCGAAAAGATTCCAACGAAAAAGGTATTACTGGCGACCATAAAACAACGTAATTTCAAAAAAGAGGTTCGATGTGCGAAACACGTGGTCATATTCTCTTACGTTTGCCTCCATACTATTTTGTGTTCAATCCAATTAAAATGGTTTGGGCCACATTGAAAGAAAGCTTGCGCAAATGCAATCAGTCACCGACTTTGCATGCTGTAGTGCTTGACAATATAAAGCGAGTGGTGAATGAAGTAGGTAATAGTGATGAGTGGAAGAACTGTGTGGCCCACGTTATGAAAGAGGAGAAGAAATATCATGTGGAAAGTTCCATAAATTCGATCGCTATTCAATCCGATGAGGATTCCACCTCATCCGACTATGGCGAAGAAGAATTTTGATTTTTCTAGCAATTTTATTGGCTTCCATTATTTTGTGAATATATGTTTGACGAGAATTCGGTGTGATTATTTGTGTTTTCATTGTATTTTAGAGTTTTCGACTCGGAAATCAACTACCATAAATTTCCAAGTTTTTCATAATCACCCATGGTGGAAAAATTCAGTTGAGATAACTTTTTCATGGTTTGATCAATTGCTATGATTGTAAGAATAAGTGACTGAAAAACTACCACTGAAAAATGATATGCCGACGCCTATGTCGAGGCGGGAATTTGTTCTCTGTGCTGTTCCAATTGGTATTGGAAATACTATATCTGAGTTGAACAAATTGATTGATTTATTGAATTACTATCATATTCTGATAATGAAACATGCAATTTCTCACACTTCGTTCAAAGCAAAAAATAGAATTTTAATACCGAATAACTGAAGAAGCTCTCGAGTCTACTTTGAATTCAAAGACTTGATGATTACATTTATCAATGCTTCTTCATTCGAAAATAATATTCAATATGTTGTGAGTTCTGTAAATAGGAAATATAGCTATTACTAACTAGACATGCATATCACCCCATGTTTTGATGAGGAGAGATTGGGAGGTGAAATTACATATCGAAATAGCAAATTGAAAATGAAAAAGATATGTCCGAGCATTTTTTTTGAATGTTCTCGTATACGACTTTATAGAATTTTTCCATCGCATCTGGAAAATTTCGTTAAATGTTTATAATTCCTCAAAATTCATCAATATGTCGATATATTATTGGACTATTTTTAATTAACATTGGTGGGTTAGAATGGAATCACTCTCTGGGTTTTCTCTATACCAATTGTTTTCGAATCACCTTCGATTTTTTGAGAACACTCCATATTATCATTATCATAGATATAGATCATTTTCATCATATATTATTATTAATATATAGCATTGTTACCATATCGAAGCATAATCAAAATATATGGATAATCTAACATAAACGTTAGCTACATAAATTCTACGTGGTGAGTCAAGAAGTATGAAACTTTTGTCTTTCTATTCAATTACATCCGAGGCAGGACTTCGAAAAGTTGACGACTAATTAGAAATACATATAAGATAACACAATCATACTTGAGTCCAGTACTTCTGATAGATCACCGAATAATTCTTGAAAGATGTACCGAAAGTGGCTAAATCGGATGTGACTCCATCAAGGTTTCAGTACCAAAATTTGAAATAGAAAGAATATAATGGCATCCGATCAATCATCAGTCAGTATTCATTATGATTGTTCCATTACCTTCAATATCTTTTTAAAATGGAACAGCTTCACATTTCTTTCAGAAATTATGTGATTATTTTCTGTTCTGCGAATTGGCAATTATAAATTGAAACTTTGACTATAGGAATTAGAATCGATTAAATAAACAATACAGTAACAAAACAATGACTCATTGAAATATCATGTTATAATTGAAACATCCATGACATTTGTTGTTACATCTCTATCCATTTTCATCTCATTCCGTGAAAAATTAATATATTCACTTCAAAATGAAGGAAAATATGTTCAATTGAACATATTTTTACAAGAGTTCCATATTCTAATCAGTAACCGTAAGTATTATCTAGAACAAAAACCATGCATGTTCAAAATAACAGAGAAAAAAAAAAGATATAAAAAAAATCATACATTTCAATCCAGTGGGAGAGAGAGAGAGAGAGAGACAGAGAGACAGGGGTTTCAACCAGTAGGGGATTTTAAGGCTTCTCTAATATGTTTTCAGTTCCTTCGGTATGGCATTATATACTTTTGAAATATTATAAGAATAGCTACGCTCAAACATAGAAGTTTTATGGACGGGTGGAGTTATAGTTCCCTTGGAACGGATGTTCAAATTATGAACATCAGTACGAAATACGATTTTCCTATACAAGTAAGATGGTGCCTTGGTCTGAATAATTTTATGATATAAAATGCAACAGTGTTCAAAAGGAATTTGAACATATAGAATACTAGTTGTTGCCCGAGAATTCGCCCGCGTAGAATTTGGTAGTTGTAGTACGTATTAGTACTATGTTGCTGTATCGCTGCTGTTCCAATGTTTTGACAGAATCAGAATCAATGAACTTAGGCGTGCGCAGCGTTATAGAACAGTGCTTCAAAAAAATGTTCTACTGCGCCATCTAGTGGCGAGTTACAGAAAAATTGATAGCCTAAAAACCTTCTCTATGAAAAATTACTTATATATGTCAAGTT